AAAAACAATAAAAATATTAAACATTTTTTTTTTGAATTTACTTTTTTGTTTTGTAATTTTTAAAAAAATTCTTTTTGATTAATTAATAATTTGACAGTTTAGAACTACGCTTTTAATTTTATTAAAATCGGAAAACGATATCATATAGCCGCCATAGGAACCATTGAATAATCATCATAGCTTCAATGTTTTTAAAAATATACGCAAGTAAATCATAATTTTAATGTTTTCAAGAATATGTAATTTTTGCAATAGCTGCAAGGGTAGATAAACTTCGGCTTGCCAAAGTTTGCTTCCTTTCTTGATTTAATTCAAGAACAACTTCTAAATAGAACAAAGTGAGTCCAGCGAAATCCTCTTCTAAAACCTTTTGTGATTTGAAGAGTGTTTTATTCTTTTTCAAATGTTTATTGTTAGAATCTCACTTATTGCCATTTTTTGAAATATAATTTTTAAGTACATAACGTTAAGCTTTCAGCATTGAGTTGTTTTTCATATGAAATGAAAAGGCAACCAAAAAGACAAACATTTTTAAAAACCGCATAAGCTTATTATAACCTCGACAAATGGGAGAAGACTTTAATGACGGCAAATAGAATATTTTGCTACTGCCTACATCAATTATGGAGCAATTGCAAAACAAATTTGAAGTTTTTCCAATAGAATCATGAAAATTGGCTTGAGACCGGAACAGTCCGAAAACCTTAACATCGGTGCCCATTTACCACATACCGTTCTGACAAGAGGAACTAGATCCCGGAGAAGGCAAGTTGCATATTTATACATTAACATTTCACTTCTGTGGGAAATACAACCATTCGTGCACGGAAAATTCCTTTATTACATTTGGAATTATTTTAAAACCTTTTTTTTTGTAATAAAACTCTCAAAACAGGACTTTAATTTAGTTTTTGAAATAAAAAAATATACAGCATTGCTGAATTAATAAAAAGTATTGTATTCATACGCAGCTCTAGAAGTTAGTCCAGCTACCACATAGAGGGCATATGGTATACTTGTTCAGTAACAAAAAAAAAAAAAAAAATGTTGTATGCGATTTTTACAAAACAACAAAGTTGAATGAACCGATCGTAAGGCAGATACAGGATATATTCGTTTGCTCCCATTCGTTTTTTAAGTACATATTTTGCATTTGGATAAAAAAAAATGATTGGTATAGTTTTATCTCGATATCTTTGAAATTAAGCGACTTATTCATTTTTCCAAACATAATAGGTCGTTGGCCCCATAGTGCCTTGTAACCAAACATGAGCTGCTGGCGCGTGCGGTAAGCGGTTGAAATATGTCTTTTTATTTTGTAGCTACCATTACCATTACCAGAACCGTGCTTTTTGATGATTGGCATAACCAAAAGGACTCAAATAAAAGATGTATGGCAACTGAGGAGCAAATTTTAAAGAACTATCCTCTGAAAGAAAACGAATGCACGCACATTAAATCGCTATCGCAAACAACTGCATTCAGAAAAATCTAGAAGTAGAAGCGTTACGGTAGATTGTTGAAAAGTTTTGAGAAATAAACAATGGCTTGATGCGGGCATTGAAATTTTCTAAGACGTTCACTATTGGTAGAAGACCTTCAATATGAGGTATTATCAAAGCAACTCTAAAAATTATAAAAAACTAGATAACTTACAAAATTGAACATTTGATGAAAACCATAGTCTTCCGATTTTTATCAAATTTAAACCGTTATTCTGAAATAATAAATCGTTACTATATCTCCGAGAAATAAAAAAATGTATAAAAGATCAAAGTTATATTTTTTCCCGTTTGTTCCTACTAGAGCTTTATGTTATAGTCGTTCGATCCAGCCCGTTCCGACTTGTGTACTACCTGCAACTGGAGGACCATGTTTGGGAAAGTTTCATGCAAATAGCCTTAAAACAGAAAGATACATATGTGTAGTAAACTTATAAAGATTATATATACTTTATTGGGTCAGATGTGTCTCCTTTACTGCGATGCAAACTTCTGAATGAAATTTTAACAACCTCTGCAAGTGTATAACAATTACGCTTCCAATAGGGATGTTATATGAGGAAGCTTTAGAAGCCCGAAACAAAGAGCTAAGAAGAGGCAACACAATAAACGCAATATGTCACGGGATAAACAATGGAGGATTTAATGGACTAGTAGTGTCATCAAAATATCCAAACAACATTTCTTTCCTTATTACTACTCAAAATTTCATCTTTTAATAAAAGCAAAAAAAATGTTCTAAAAATTAACCTAACATTAAAGTAGAATTTCGAAACAAATTTTTGTCAGTTTGACCACGCCTTTCCTCCGCCCCATGCAAACCACATACAAAATAAAACCATCTATGTCGCATTTCATAAAAAAAAATGTTGGTAAATAGATTGTTAATATTACTCAGGCCAACAAAAGTATTTTGCAAGCCCAAGCGCATATTATTATGATTTATAAGACTTTTCTAAGTATAGCTTCCCACTACATCTATAGTCCATCAGCTCTTGGACTTGTGCTGTTTTTAATTTAAGAAAATCACCTTTTTTTTTTTTTTAGTTTAGTAATATCTTGGTCAACTTTTTGCAAATTAAATGTCTTATGGTCTTTTTTGATTAGCTTCCCTAACTTAAGCATAAGCGAATATATATATATGCACGGTTGGGGTTCCAAAAATACAGTTCCATATATAAATTAAAAGTATCGTTACACAAAGATTAGAATTTTTCGGAGTCTATAAAATGCTCAGAAGAAAAAGATTAGTTTATAGTCCAGATTCAAAATAGTCGAAAATATTTTATGACTTGAGAATGCACTTTTTGGCCAAATAAAAAAAAAACACTTTAACAGCTGACCAACGACTTTTCTTATGTCTATGCTCTGGAACCGTAGAATGGATTATTAAGGAAGCAAACTTCGGCAAGCCGAAGTTCATATACCCTTGCATCTATTGCAAAAATTAAATATTTTTCAAAACATTAAAATTATGATTTACTTGCGTATATGGCTAAAAACATTGAAGCTATAATGATATGCAGCTCAATTATTATATAGTTATTTTATATATTTTTATTATTTCTATGGGAGCTATATGATATAGTCGTCCGATTTTGATGAAATTTAAAACATAATTCTGAAATATTTAACCAGTACTATATGTCGAAGAACTAATAGAAAAATTTAAAAACTGCAAAGTTATAATTTTTTTGTATTATTTTCCGATTGTTCCTATGGGAGCTATATGATATAGTCGTCCGATTTTGATGAAATTTAAATCGTAATTCTGAAATATTTAACCATTACTATATGTCAAAGAACTAAAAAAAAATTTAAAAACAGCAAAGTTATAATTTTTTTTTATTCGTTTTGCGATTGTTTCTATGGGAGCTATATGATTTAGTCATCCGATTTTGATGAAATTTAAAACGTAATTCGGAAATATTTAACCATTACTATACGTCGAAGAGCTAAAAAAAAATTTAAAAAAACAGCAAATTTATAATTTTTTTTATTTATTTTTTCGATTGTTCATATGGGAGCTATATGCTATAGTCGTCCGATCCGGCTCGTTCCAACATATATACTACCTGCAGTAGAAAGACAACTTTTGGAAGTTTCATGCAGATAGCTTTAAAAGTGAGAGTCTAGTTTGCGTAGAAACGGACGGACAGACGGACATGGCTAGATCGACTCGCCTAGTGATGCTGATCAAGAATATATGTACTTTATAGGGTCGGAGATGTCTCCTTCACTGCGTTGCAAACTTCTGACTGAAATTATAATACCCTCTGCAAGGGTATAAAAACATTGAGCAGGTCATGGGCAGGCACAGATCAATATCGAAACTGTAGTTCTTGAAAACCACTGTGAAAAACCTTAGACATAATCAAATTATATTAATATACATGCTTCTGTGGAATGCCAACTGCGTCTCACGGCATAAACTTAAATAATTCAGTTCCTGAGTGTAGATCACAACGAAACTCACGAGTAAATAAAACTTACAAAAAATAGGCAAGACCATCCAGATGGCAAAGCCCACGGCGGAACCCGCATCTTAACAAGAAGCCTCGTTAAACACCACTTTCACCAAAGGTGTGCAAACAAAATTATTTGCAGGCTACATGGATTATCCTTCTACTGCATGGATTTCGCTTCATAGCAGAAGCTGGCTACAATAGCAAGCATAAGCGCTGGGGATATCGCCTTGTGTCCACCTAAGGCAGATTATATAAACATGCCACAAGCTGGACGCCGTTTCACCGGGCAGCCCTACATATTGGCCAACAAGTCCCAGAAGCTTTCAGATGTAATGTTTTTTCTGTGACGGAAAACATCTCTGGCAATCTTATAAGGACCACTCACTTTTTATCGGACCAGTTCTTTTAACTCTGCTTCAAAGCCCTGAAGTAAAGGAGCATCCTCCAGGCTGAAACAACAAAAAGTATATAGGCCTTACCTCAAAAAGTATAAAGGTTCCCACATTGAACTAACCCTGCAGCTCAACATCAAGGAGGACATAGATTGTTACTCCATGCACTGGAATCTGTTTATGCTCCAGCAACCAAAATCTCTACACCACAAGGTAAAGGTGTGCAGACCAAATATTACAAAAATAATCTTCAAACTAAACAGTTTGTATTGGAAAAGGGGCGTTGGAAACGTGTTTGGCAAGCCAGGAGATCATCCTCGAAACAATGTCTTAAGGAGGCTACAACCAGTAAAAAGCATCCCTTGCTCACCCAAATCAAAGAAACCTATAACCCTATAAGAAACTCTTCAGGCAGCCAGACCCTTAGCGACAATGACAAGGCCTGTTCATTTCATCATCATTCAAACCCTGCAACTGACTTGTTTACCATACCATCGTCAGTGTTGAGACAGGTACCATTTTTTTTACCTAGGTAAGGTAAAAGGTAGTTGCAAATATTTGTACCTAGGTAAGGTAAAAGGTATGCAATTTCTTCTGTACCTAGGTAAAGGTAAAAGGTAAAAACTACAAGTTAAAAATTTTTTAAATTTGAAATTTTTATTATCAGTTTCTTTTTCTGAGATACAAAGATATAAACATAAGTCACATTGGTTTCTTTTTTTGAGATCACCGGAAATTTTCACTTCTATTTTTGAATTTTTCGCTTTCAAAGCTTCATACGAAGAATAACTGTTCGGGTGAACCCTCTGAAAAAAAGTGTCATAATGTTTTAATGTCTTCATTATACTTGTTTAATTTAAACATTATTATGTGCTTAGTCATACATATATTTATAAAAATGTGGTTTAATAAAAAAAATAGTTTTACATTTTTTGGTGGAAAATAAAAAATAAAAATAAAGAATGACCACCCCATCAATGTCCATAAAATTATGACCATATGTATGTATCCGTCAATTTCTTATTAAAATGCACTTTTAGATTATTTAAACTTATGGAAAATAATTTTCGCGCGAAAAAATGCATGTGCATAGATATGCACATTTACATTTAAACATACACTCCAATAAGCACATATTCATACATATATGATGCATACATAAATATGTGCTTGTTCACATACTCAAATAATTCGAAGGTGCATTAAAAAAATTGCGGGAATCGTGCTGCTTCATGCTATGATTGTTTAAATGTTTTAATGAAATAGGCACAATCTATACATAAATACATACATATGGTCATATTCACATTGATGACTGCACCACATAAATGTATGAATAAGCACATATGTATATACATATGTTTAAAAGCACATGTGCATGTCTACGCACATGCATTTTTTCGCGCGAAAATTAATTATCAATTCACTTCACAGTTCACTTACCTTCAGATGTTTATGCAAGTTGCCGGTTGACTTTTCATCAAATTTGATAGTTTGGTTCACACACAGTTTGCACTTCCCGTCCGGTAAAAAGAAAGTACCATTTAAAATTAATGGTAGTTCCTTTTTTTCTGCGTCTTCTTTTCTCATTTTAAGATTTGTTGTGACGTTTTCTAGGAACCAATGTCATCGACAAAAGTGCACTGTTTAGGTAGCAACGGCATTGCTAATTTAGCATTATACCAAATTCCAACGGAAAATATTTTTGCATTCTTACCATAAAGACCTCTGTGAGTAAGTGGTGGAACTATCATATTTCTAAGTTTTCGATTGCATTGCTGTGAAGCAGGGCTATTTCTAATATGCACAATATTTACATACACGTATGGAAGTACCTAAATACCTTACATAGCTAAAACTTAAGGTAAACGAAAATCGTACCTAGGTAAGGTAAAAGGTAGCCAAATATTTTTTTACCTAGGTAAGGTAAAAGATACCGAAAAAAATTACCTAGGTACATACCTAGGTACAAGTACCTAGATACACCCCAACACTGACCATCGTACTGAAACGTAAACGTAGTCAATTAGGTTTTAGCCAAATGATGTTGCCATAATTGTCTCCAGACGGTAACTTAATTACTCTAAAATTGATAATTGAACTTCCGAACTGTGCATTGTTAGTTCTTGAAACGAATTAACTTCGTTGTTTTCGTCCCACCAATATTATAAACAACGTGTCCGACTGACAAGCGAGAATGCAAAGAAGGTTGGGATGCAAGGATATAAGGATTCTATTTGCCGACGTAAACCTCGGCCTCTGGCTAATAATGGCAATGTATTATATTGACGTATTCTTCGCCGTCTCTGAATGCGCCGCTGTCCTTTAGCCCGTTATTTTTCTTTTTGCTCACGGTATTCCGACGCTCTTTTTTATTGCTGCCTTTTTCGGACTCTTCCTGTCCGTCTTTGTGCACACGGTACGATACTTTCTCGCCGCACTACCGTTACTACGGGCGAAATCGCCGCGAATCTGGCAACTAGTAGGCCTGAACCTGTATGATCGCTTACACTGCTTGCGTTAATTGTGGGGAGTTATTCAACTCCTTCCCCATCTTCTCAAGAAAGAGAAAAAATCGGCAATCGTAATGACACAGACCAATAAGTTTACTCTTGTGTTTCTTAAAACTGCTAGAAATATGCCTTCTGACGCACATAAACCTATAAACCGCACAATGTAATCCCGCCACATCAATTTGGCCTTCGAGAAAGCCATGAAACCAAAGGGCAAGTCAACAGAATAATATCAGAACTACGGACTGCATTCGAATATCGGGAATACTTTAGTGCGATGTTCCTTAATGACGCACAGGCTTCCGACCGAGGCCTTGATGCACAAAAACATACAGATTTTGCCGGAATACACTCACGAGTTACTTCAGTCGTACCTTTACAATAGTGTCTACTAGACGTCTTAATTATATAAGTTGGAATTCCTTAAGGTAGCGCTCTTGTTCCAACTCTGTTTGTCCTATACACAACGTATTTCCCACGATTGGCTAACAACATCTACCGTGATCATTAGTTGGTCCAGACTTTTAGCTTATCACCTCATGGTACTGGTACCTGTCCCACAAAACCTGAATAATACGCATATCTTTATCCGACTTTATCCCAAAATCTTCAAAGAATTTGGGCAAATTTGTTTTTGTTTTTACTGTTGTCGCACTTTTTTTTGTGCACAGATTTTAAGAGCGCAGAATGTTGGATAACAACAGAAGAAAGCCAGAGTTTCATTGACCTTAAATCTTTATATATAGAAGAAAGTCGTGTTTGTTACACTATATATAACTCAAGAACGGCTGAAATGATTTGGCTGAAAATTGGGGGTAGCTTAAAGCCAGGAGAAGGACATAGAATATCGTTTGTCCCATTTGATCGCGTACTAGTCTTCAAAATGCAGACAAATTTTTTTTTCGGTTTCGTCATTTGTTTCAACCGAATTGCGTCGACTGTATTTCAAAATAGTTACATCAGTAAATAATAACTTTCAGCATAACTAATAATGCCGCGACCATGACGATCGAATCTTTCCGGAAAAATCAGTAATGCAAGAAGGATACGAAACATTTAGAATGAAAGGACTGCAGAAGAAAGAGAAATTGCACGTGAAGAGCGCCTCGTTAGTGTGGCTCAACTTCGAGACTCTCAATCACAAGAGCGAATTGAAGTAGCCCGTAAAACGGCTGCGTTGGCAATGCGAAATTTTCGAGCCATCAACTAGATAATTTTTAACACAGAAGAGATTTATTCTGTGTGGATTTGTATCGAGCAGCGTTACGATACGCCTATATCAATGATTACAGTTTGCATTAAAGCGTTTGCATTGGTCCAATGTACGTTGTTCGTGAGTATTGTGGTGCATTAAAGTATTCTGAAAAAAAACGGATTCTGCTGCCCTAGTCATAAAGTAAAATTACCTTTTTGACACCGCCACCTGAGCCATTGTATTCACTGCTTTGTGGCGAAACTCCCGAGTCACGACACTTTCTTGCTAGCATTCAAAATAACAATGGTTGATTCCAAATTACGTCATTTGGTGCAGATATTATTGAAGAACAAGGACTTTATCCGATTTTCAAGGTGTATTTATTTCTTCAAGATCTGCAGCAACTACTTCATGAGAATCATGCGTTGGGCAAGAAAAATATGTGAGAAGATATTTTACATCAAATTCGTGTCAGTTCCTGAAATCACGATCTTGAAATGAATGAAGTGATACAAAATCGGGCTCTAAGCATGATTAAAGACATGTGCTCATGTGCTGTGTTTTATTAGTCAGGTTAAAAATGCCATCGCGAAACGAATGTCGTATTTAATCGAGAACGTGAAAATGATAACCAGGAATTAGATCAAGTATTTCAAACGAATGTACCCTTAATGCAGGCAATTGATGATGGAAATGGTGGTTTAAATTTCTAGGACGCCCCTGGTCGAACTGGAAAGACATTCCTCATGTCAGTAGTTCTAGCAACTGTTCGTGCGAGATTCGATATGGCGGTTGCAGTTTCCTATTATGGAATAGCAGCCACATTGTTAGAAGAATGCCGAACGGCTCATTCAGCATTAAAATTACCGTTAAATCTTCAAAGAATTGAAGAACCAATATGTAATATTGCAAAAAACTCAGAGATGGCCAAATTTTTATCGGTATCGAAAATTATCATCCAGGAGGAATGCACAATGGCGCATAAAAGTGACGAAATAAACGCTTGCCTAAAATCTTCGAATCTATGGCGCTATGTGAAGAAATCGCAGCTGATAAAAAACATGAGAGTTGCATTGTCTAATGATACATCTGCTAAAGATTTCTTTAAGCAATTGGTTACTATCGGTAAAGCTCAAGTACCTGTCGAGGAATCGAGCGGATTGATATAATTTTTAAACAAATTCTGTAACTTTGTCTCATAAAAACACGAACTTATCAACAACCTAGCTACAAGAAAAATGACATCAGACGTATTTTTTATCGATCAGTTGTGTGATTATAAATAATGAAATTAACCGAAATTTAATGTGCGAAAATTCGCCTAGGGTATTTTTCCATGCCTATGATATTTATGTGAGTTTAGAAGGTTAATCTCAACTTGCTTTTTTATTATTATTATGTAAAGTAAGTATGAGAAGATACAAAATGTTAGACTTTGTCGGCTTTTTTCCTACGGCGTCACTTTTTCTCTCTGCTTCTACTGAATTCCTCCTTCTAGAACTGACTATTCTGCCATCATCAAAATATTCCATAACGCGTTCTATACATTTCTACTGCTGCTTTTCTGCTCTACTGCTTTCTGCTTTTCGGCTGATGTACTGCTTGTCCTGCTGCTTCTCTGCTGATATTCCGCTTATGTTACTTCACAATCTTACATTCGGCCATTCCTGATTAATCATCTGTCCCAGATGACCAAGGATCCTCGTTAAGCTTCACGAAACGCCACATCTTCATGTGGTCACAATCGGTTGAAGTGTTGGATGGGCCTTCTACATCAGCTGCCTTCCAAACATCGTATCGCCCATTTCTCTTCACTTTAGAAACTTCATACGGGCCCAAGTGTTCTCCAGCCAGTTTCTTTCCTGCGATGAACTGTGCCCGGCGTATAGCAACTATGTCTCCAACTTGATAAATTACTTCTGGTTTCCGCTTCAGATCAAAATTCTTCTTGAATGAATCCTGTGCCCGCTGAATATTGGCCTTTGCCTCTTGCCTGAGTTGCTGCCGGTTCTCATCAAACTATAAATATAACTCCTCCTCTAAAATCTGTGTTATACAATCGCTGGGCTTATTGTTCATCTTCATGCCAAACATTAACTCGAATGGTGACTTCTTTGTTGATGCATGCACGTGAGAATTTACTGCTCGCTGCACCAGTGGTACTGCCTTAAACCACTTGGCTGGATCCTCTGCCGAAATCTTGGAGATTATCGATAAAATTGTGCGATTTACCCTTTCTATCTGCCATTTCCTCTGGGAACTCCGGTTGTGCTCCAAACGTGATCAATACCGCATTCCTTCATGTGCTCTGCAAACAAGTTGTCTGTGAAGGCGAAGCCTCTGTCGGAAACAATACGCACAGGGATGCCAAAAATTTCGGACCAAATTTCGAGCATTTTCAGTGTTTCCTCACAGCTCGTGGTCTTTGTAGGAAAAAGCCATATAAATTTCGTGAATGAGTCCACCATTGCAAATATGTATTTATATTGCCTTCCAGACGCATCCATGGGACCCAAATGAAGCGGCTGATCACCTTTGTCAATACAGTTTTAAAGTCCTTTTCTTTTGCCGAGTTTCTTGTTAAAAATTATGCATCTTACGCAGTTGCTTACAACCTGCTGAACCTTTTGCTCCAAATGAGAAATCCAATAGGAGTGTTTTACAGCATGTACAGTTTTTTTAAGAGCAAAGTGACCTGAATTGTGGGCGTCTACAATAACATCTTTTTCCATGACTTTTGGAACTACAAGTAGGTCATTGCCGTTTATCTCCATATAGACAAGTCCACCTTTCATCTTGTATCCCTCATAAGGACGGCTGGCGAGAATTTCCATTATTGCCTTCAGCATTTCGTCTTTACCTTGAGCATTTTTAATTCGAGCTGTGATTTCTAAAGACACCAGCATAACACGATTGGGATAACGACTAAGACAGTCAACGTGCTTAAGTCGTTCGCCTGGACGGTGTTCAACTGCAAACTCAAAGTCCTGCAGATAAATTATCCACTGCGTCACTGCTCTTGGCTCATCCGCCTTCTATTGAGTTTGCTTGAATGTGACGCAATCTGTTATCAACCTAAACGCGATCCCAGCAAATAGTGTCTGAATTTCTTTACCGCTAGATATACGACTTTTGCTTTTAGGATGTAACTGTGCTGGCGAGACTCAGCTTCGGTTGTCTTTTTGCTGGTAGAAAACTTGTATCCTTCCGCAGACAATGACAGGTTGAACTTAGAGACGAAATCATATCCGAGTAGCGCATCATATTCAATGTCTTCATCGTCTATGACAACGAAGCTTTGTGAAGTCGTCACTTCGTCTACCGCGACATCAGCAAAAAACGTTCAACCAGCTTCGATTCACTTTTCTCCAAGATAACATTAGGAATTTTGTTAAAGACTAACTTTCTCAATACGGATACATCGGCTACGGAATCTTCCAGGCATTTCACTTCGACGCCGTTAAGGGTGACCTTCTTCTTGCGATGCGCACTGCGCACAACTTGGACACCAGCAGCTAATCCAGGGCAATTTTTAGACATATGACCCTCTTTGTTGCATCTAAAGCATTTCGTGGCAGCCTTGCAATCCTTTCGAAATTGATCGGCAGATCCACAGTTAAAGCAATGACTCTTTTTGTCGCTAAATTCGTGCTGCTTCTTCTGGATTGAGGTCCAACTACTGTCCTTCGACGGGAACGGCTTATTTCCCTTTTCGGCTTCGCGCTCAAAAACCTCATACTGCTCCTGCAGCTCTCTGAAAGATTTGCAATTATAGAGAGTGTATTTGAAGTCGCTCCTCAGATTTAGGCCGTCCACAATGTAGAGTATTACTGAACGTGCAGCTATGCTGCCAAGCTCTGCATCTTCCTCATCTGCAAAAGATACTCGTGAAAAAATTCCTGCTGTTTTTTTCGAGTACGGAGCTGCTCGTGAAGATCAGCGCTGCACACCTATTGTCGACTAAACTCTGTCTCCAGCAAAAGGCGCATCTCGGTGTATTCGTGTACGTGAGTAGAATCCAAAAACAATTTTGCTGTATTCGTCATCTTGGCACGAGCCTGTACATACATTTGCTTTATGTTTAGACCGTAAGCTTCAGCTTTCAGCTCAAAATTGCTAAATCAATGCTTAACCTGTATGGATTCATCGTCAAACTCAGGAATAGTTTTTGCAAAGCTTTCCGCAGTAATTGAGCTACTGGTATTGTTCTGCTTGTCGATTCCCATTTTTAAGGCGAGGAGCTGGACAAGATCCTTCAGGGTCCTTGTATTCTCGGCGATCGAACAGCTTTCAGTTGCCATAGCTCCGATATTCTGACCACCACTTGCTTCTTCAAATTT